TTGCTAATTCTGATTGGTCAAATCATATGATGTTTACATGTAAATCATATGATATCATATAAAATTAGTTACACAAAATTGATCTACAATCTATTTTATATGAAATTAGAAATTTGTACACCCTACTCTTAAAGTTTTCATTTATTCTGATTGTTTTGATTGTTTTGATTTCATGTTACACCTGATCTTGAAATCTAAATCATCATGTGATCACATGATTCCCAGCATCATCTCCACATTTAATAACCATAAACGCGTTTCTTTCCCTTACTGTCTTTTCTTTTATTCAAACAAACCTTATTGTGTGTCTTTTTTTTTATTTAAATTTTCAACAAACTTTATGATGTCTCATTATTTTATTTTAACAAACTACATATCTGATTATCTTAAATCGTATCTAAAAGAAAAAAAGTCAAATCGTATAGTGGTTTTCTATTTCGACACCGGCAAATTATTGTTAAATTTTCATTGTTATCCTCAAACTTGGACAACCCTGACAACCTTGACAATACCTGGGCTTCTCATTTTTTATATAAAGCTAAAAAAAAAAATAGATGTTTTCAATGATTGAGTAACAAGGTGCGTTTTTTTTGTTAGTTACTAGATAACTAAGAGTAATTTCTAGTCGAGCTGAGGATTTCCTAGTTTGATATAGGAAAATTACCGAACTATCAATTGCTGGTAACCACCCCAGTTTTGGGTACTCGGGTACTCTGAGTTTGTTGTTGGTAAAAGACTGCTGATTCCGTAAAAAAGCATCAGTATGCATCTTTGTAACTAAATGAAAAAACTGCACGTTGCTAAGAATTACCGGTAATTCTTTTTTAATAGATACAGGTAGAACGTTCTAGTTTGAAAAACTATTGGCAGGATGTTATAGAAGAATGTAAGTTGGTAAGCACAAAGTATAATTAGCTACACATATCAAACTTATAAATTATTAAAATATCTGATACTATTTTCAGAGACGTAATCCTTCGGTATATAAAACTAAAAGAGAATGTCTTTGTCAGATTCTTAATAACTTCGACAATATCATACAAATGACAGACGTTCAGCTTATTGAAATTTCAAATAAATGGAATTATCATGCTGAGGAAGAACTAATAGACAATAATTCCGAAAACAATTACGATTCAAACGAAGTCTGGAGAATGCAATGTAGAAAAGACAAAGCTAGGGCCGATATTAATCATCTTGACATTGGATATCCTGATACTGATCACCTTGATATTGAACATCCTGATACTGTTCACCTTGATATTGGACGTTCTAATACTGATCACCGTGATATTGAACGTCCTGATACTGATCACCCTGATATTGGACGTCGTGATACTGATCACCTTGATATTGGACGTCCTGATACTGATCACCTTGATATTGGACATCCTGATACTGATTACCTTAATATTGGACATCCTGATACTAATTACCTTGATATTGGACATCCTGATACTAATCACCCTGATATTGGACGTTATAATACTGATCACCTTGATATTGGACGTCCTGATACTGATTACCTTGATTGGATATCCTGAGATTAATCATCTTGATATTGGACGTCCTGATACTAATCACCATGTTTTCCGGCAAACTCTTATGATCATGAATTGCCATCTATCTTGTTATTTTTTTCATGTGTTATGATGTAATTATGTTTATTCAAATTAAAACCCTACCAATCATGATTATAAATTGCCGGATAACACCAATATTGGGCAATTTGTCGAATACGATAATTTGGCTCAACCGGGCAAATTATTGGCACATATGCACGTGTTCATTCGGTTTGCCAAATTAATTTTGCCCAATATTGTATACATACTGGACATCCTGATACTGATCACCTTGATATTGGACATCCTGATACTGATCACCTTGATATTGGACGTTCTAATACTAATTACCTTGATATTAGACGTTCTGATACTGTTCACCTTGATACTGGACATCCTAATACTGATCACCGTGATATTGAACATCCTGATACTTGATCACCTTGATATTGGACATCCTCTTCAGCACCTAACGGATCATCAAGACGACCAACTTCAAACAGTCAATATCATCAGATTATTCACTGTTTTAAAAGAAAAAGTAAACGAACTAAATAATTACAACCATTTTCTAGTAACTTAGTGGTTGCGAAAAAAGAGCGCAATCACGTGATTTTTGTCCAATCACATTGCAAGATCAGTTGTAACGTAAAAAATCAAAACAAAATTAAGCGAAGTATAAATTATAAAATCTTTCTTTAGAGTATGTATTGTTTAGCACTAAGGTGCTTAAAAACCGTATTAAATGTAAAATTTTTAAGAAAATTTTTTTCATAAGCAAAATTTTGAGTTACGTATTAGCGGTTTTTAAAAAACGAACATTTGTTTTGAATTTTCCTGATTATGCTACGTTACACCTGATCTTGCAATATTATTGGACAAAGATCACGTGATTGCACTCTTTTTTCGCCACCACTAAGCTATTAATTTCCCGTTTCTGACTCCCAAAGTTCCCAAATAAAATTACTAGAAGGAATCTTCGAAATCTGAAACGGCTAAACTACTATGTAGGCTCCCCGCCAAGAAACCGACACACTAATAAGCCTGTAGGTATAAACAAATTGTCGTACCTGTTTTATAGATCATGGCATTTAACTTTTACATTCATAGGTTCCAGAACTATCATCATCGCCAACACCATTTTCGCAATCTCCACCACCATCACCAATGTCTTTTTGCTTAAAATGTCCTCAACATTGCTTTTAGATATAATTGTGCTTTTGTTGGCTCTTTTTTTTTACTTAAGATTTTTTATAATAAAGTTTTATTGTGTTGAGCTTCATATATGTTATCATACCGGCGAATTTGCATGATCCAATCGATAGAAAAACCATTGATCGTAATTTTGGTCAAACGATCTTTTCTCATCTGGGAAATGATTGACAAAATCTGGAACATTAAATAATTATCAATATGTATCGCCTTCATTCATCCATCTAAATTTCACATCTCGTTTCTATTTATTTCGAAACATATTTCTCTTTCAATTAACTTTAAATCTGTTAAACCTCTCCACAATTCGTAAATTCATCAAAATATCAAAAATACAAAGACTCAATTCTTTCTTCCAAATTTCCAAACCTTCCCCAGACATACAACAAGTATGAAGTAGAAGCAAAAGAGAGCAAGGCTGGAGTTTTTTAAAAACATCAGCACGGGTTGATACGACAATATGTTATCAAAATACTATCCGCGAGAAAAACCAACAGAGGTTATTGATAAGTGAAAATTGCAATTGGAACAAAAGCCGCAATGGACAGAAAATTCGATTAGGTTAGGTGCAATCGCTAGAAAAAAGGGGAT